TTCTGGTGAAACTCACCCATCCAGTAGAGAACACGGCTCCTAACATTTATTGTGTTCTTCAGCCTCTCTGGGATCCTGCAAGGAACAAGTTTGGCATGAGCATTTTCCTGTGGTACTAATAGGTGAAGCATATTCTTAAGTTCCAAAAATCGAAACTTGACCTACCTTTATTTGGAGTGTGTGCTCAAGGGATATCCTTTCGTGCATAGGACAGATTTATATTAATGTCCTTTGTATGGGGCATACTTCTGCAATCTGTTAAATAATGGGAGACTATGAAATCAACATACATTTTCATATATTTCCAGGGAAGGGAAGTTCTGTAAGAGTTAGGTGATAAGCACTCTCCATTACTCCATGTGTTTGCCAGGAAACCTTGTTGGAAGTGATTCCAATTTATATTTCTGAGGGATGCCCACTTTCTTTTCAAACAGATCTCTTCCTTGCTTACCTGGGTGAGATGTCTTTGTGTTTGCAGGCTCAATTAAGCAACAGCGTTAAGATTTATCGAGCGATGCTTATGGGCGAGCTCAAAATATCTCTAAAGTCTATGGAAAAGTGTTGCTCTTTTTAAATCACGCGCAGTGTCACCCCATTCCTCTTCCAGGTTTGTGGTGTGCATGCACACGTGATGATGAACAGCTGGCCTTCGTGCGTGCAGCAGTGCTGGAAATTGGAACAGGTGGTCTTCCATTTTCCGGCATGAGCGTATGTGACGGCAACCTGATTTGTGTCCATGCATGCGCACCAGTAAATGGAAGATTATCTGGGTGGCACACATGCGTGGGCCAGAAACTAGAAGCTCATTTTCCAGCACGCATGCCCCCTGGGCAGCTCTTCTTCTGGGTTAGGGCCCCGATGAGCGCACATGCGCTCCCTTTTTGGCACTCAGTGCCGAAAAGGTTTACCATCACTGTTCTAAGTGCTTCATCACCGAACATCTAATCATCAGGACTCCACTTGGTAGGACAGTATAATATTAGCCCACAGTCAGCCTCTTGAAAGTGCGATCTTCTCTCGTAGCCTGAAGTTATATACTCCTGGTGGTGAGTTTTGTTCATTTGGAAAAAAAAAATCAAGTATCCTTTGAGTCATATTCAGCTTCTATGACTTAATGGGTACATTCATAGAGTTTTCTTGAAAAACAATATAGAAATAATTTTCTGGATTATTGGAAGAATCCTAAAATGCAAGGGAAAGATTATTTTCACGTTTTGGTTATAATTAAGATTGGAGTTTTCATTAACTCATGCCAAACTCTTACTTCTGCCTATTTTTCTACCCATATAACATAAAAACTTCATTACAGGTTAAACTCTAACTGTACAATAGGTTTAATTCCCTTCTATAATATTTCATAATTCAACTTCACTTTTCCTTTCACTATTCCACCAATGTAGTGATACATGACAGTGACAAGTTCTACTGATGCAAAATTTCCATCAACATACCTCCTGCCTCAGTGTCTTTACTGGGACACTGACAGATGTTCAAGATGTCTCTTCAAAGTGTTCTAAGAAAGCACTGCTTTTCTATTGGTTGTCTGGAGACTCCTTACTTCCTCGCAGCTCACCTGAATTTCTACAGATAAAAACAATTCGTTTCCCCGAGACTTTCGTTGTCACCTTCCATAACTTGTCTGTTTTGCAATCCAACTAGATGCTTGTGTTTCACCGACAGTGAAATGAAGGAAGTTAAAGTTTCCGGAGTTAAGCAAATAGCTTCTTTACTAATGTTTAGGAAGGGGTCCAAAAGACATTCTGCACCTATCAGCGTTACTTTTTAGCCAAACGTGTTATTGTATAAGTGGAGCAAAGCACATATTGTATGTGTGTGTGTATGTGTGTGTGCGTGTGTGTGCGTGCGCACACATACACACACATACTGGTCTTGTTGTATTTAGGTCTTTTCCTATGTAAGATTGAGATTGTCTTGGCAATGTTTCGACGAGGTCCCACTCCCCATCTTCAGGCTGGTGTTTTCGGCTTCATACTTGTGCGAGTGACAAGCACAAAGCACGAAGCCGAGCACGAAGCACGAAACCGAAAACACCAGCCTGAAGATGGGGAGTGGGACCTGGCCGAAACATTGCCAAGACAATCTCAATCTTACACAGGAAAAGACCCAAATACAACAAGACTAGCATACCTACACCCGTGAAAATCTATGAACACACACACACACAACACACACACACACACACACAAACACACACACACACACACACAAACATTATATATTATGAAAAAGGCCTCACCCACAGATAAACCAAGCTCAAACTTTTTACAGTTGACGTATCTGCGGGTAGTATATTTTGTAAAATGGTATTTGGATTAAAAATTAAAAAGTCTGTTTTATCTGTATATGGGCTTATCCACAAATATATAAGGGATAACAAAAGTACTTTAAAAACGGAAGAAATATATATACCATTATATATTTGCAGATTAGTGCTTCCACAAAGAGTTAATCCCAATTTTGGGAAGCACTTTGGCACTTAAAAGTCTTGGTTTATCCAGCAATATACAGGGCAACATTTTCTGAATCCCATGGAATGAACAATTTCACGAAACATATTTCCCAGCTAGGTTGGGTCCATCCAGAGATTGATTAATCTTTCTGTTTTGGTTTCTGACAGCTTCTTATTTTTGCAGGCTCCATTGGTTTCTTCCATTTCCACACCAGTTTGAAACATTAAGACATAATTTGTATGAAAATATATACTTTTTTTCCTGCTCATTTTTTTCTAATACACATGTTTTCGGTTCTACATATGTTATTTCCATTTAAGAATTCCATTTTGTACATTTTCATTTATAAATGGAGGTTTGATTTTGAGAATTGCTTTGCAAAATCTGAAGAATGGTGAGTCTGGAAAGATAATGGAGTTTTGGCTTGAGTATTGGTTCAAAAGGGTGGAATTTACATAAGTAGGTTTGCACTGCAATGTGAATCAGCTGAATTCCTTCCCTGTCTCAGGCTACCAGCCAATATTTTTCTTTAGTTAAAACACCATATAATCTGATTCTTTAAATGTAGCAGTTTGGGAATTCCTTTAATATATTTCTGAAATGGTGTGTGGAGAAGACTCGTAGTTGATATTTGCTCATACTGTCTTTAGATGGAATCTATTATAGTATTGACCTATTACTGTTTTTATTCCCTTTATGTGCATGCGTTCTGTTGATGCACATAAACTGTTTAATTTGACCACTTGGTTCCACACATTTGTTCAACGAGCCTTGATTTTGTGGCCAGAAATGGGTTAGAAAATGTCAAACATGGTTTTTAAAATAGGTACATTCACAGCACGCAAATGTGTAATACTGTAATTTGTGTAATGCATTTTAACCTAGAATAATGTTCAAAATTGAATGCATTATAAAATATCCCATCTAAATCAACAAGGTTAGTACTGTAGTGTACAAGGCAAAAATGAAAGAAAATGCAAGCTAAGGTTGGTTGATTTGGCATGCAAAGTAAAATATTTTTTTTTAAAAAAAATCTACAAAAACTGTAATCAAAATTGTCCAGAAGAGTTAAAATTGAAATATAGTTTCCAACACCAAAGTTAGGGTACACATTGAATAAACTAACAAACATGTAGCAAAACACCTCTCTTGGAGGATTTTCCATACAGATATGGATCATATATCTTATTTTGTGATCCTGAAATTTCATTTCATTTCATTTATTAAATTTATAGGCCGCCCAATCCCGGAGGACTCCGGGCGGCTTACAACGAAAGAAGAAAAAAAGAAAAGCAAAATAAGTAAATAATAATAATAATTTAAAATTCACAACACACATACATTCTAATCGGGGCTGGACATTAACACTAAGGTCAACAGCCCCAAGCCTGCCGGAACAGCCAGGTTTTAACAGCTTTTCGAAGGCCATGAGAGTGGGTAAGGTCCGGACCTCTGGGGGTAGCTGATTCCACAGGGTCGGAGCAGCCACAGAGAAGGCTCTCCTCCGGGGGCCCGCCCGCCGACACTGTCTGGCTGACGGTATCCGAAGGAAGCCTACCCTGTGGGATAATGTGAAATACCACATGAATGCATCTTTTCTCTATAAGTAGTCAGTAAATTCTAACATAAATGGGGGAAAATCTGAAAGCAGATAAAGGTCTCAAGGAAAAAACTTATAACAGGGTTCTCTATTTTTTTTCCAACTTCCTTTTCAAAAAACTTAGGAAAAGCAGAAGAAATTTCACTTGAATAGAAGAAAAGTCCAAGACAAAATGGCTATCAAGAAGGACAAAACTGAAAGAAAATTCAGGTATAACAAAATCAATCAATCAATATAGCCTCATCACAACTTAGTTATTTTAATTGCTAACTAAAAACTAGCAACACTTTCAAATTAGAGGACACAAAAATTGAATTGTTTTCTTGCTTTAGCACTCAAGTATGCCACATGAATATATAACCAGCAAAACACCACCAGCCTTTTCCTTTATCTCAGTCAATTGATTGACAACCGTTCTCCAGACCTCTTTAATATTTGTCTGAATTCTGGAGGTGAAACCTGTGAAATAGACATGTTGTACATTTTAAAGAATGATGTCCTCTTTGTCTAACTATAACTCAATAGGGGGGGGAGATTAAAAAGGATACCCCCTGTATCTTAGTTATGATGTCTTTCTTAAGAGCAAATATGTATACTTTGATAATAAAAACAAAAAACAATTTCCCTTACCTATGGAAGGACTATTAATTTTCAGCTGAAATATTGATGGTTCTTCAAAGGTCTCTATGCTCAACTTCCTTTTTTTAAAAATAAATTAACTCGTCTGGTGGCTCTTAGCTATGCAAAAGGGGAAGAAAATGCCAATGCCTTTGCACATGGCTTCAGCAAGGAATGAGATACCGCTGAAGTACAGCACCCTCTGGGTGGGCATTCTGATAAAGTCACAATTTATGGCTAGAACACAAGAAATCACATTAATTTCACACAGAATCCCTTCAGCTCGGTGGTGGCTACCTCAGAGCTCTCACCTGTGGCAAATGATTACATTTCCTCCTGCTGGGAATTTGACTGGGCAGACGAATGTTAAAGAGGGCCTGCAGCGCAGCCTGTGCTGCTTGACCTTTAGCCAGCTTCTTGCTACGTCCCGAGCCTTCAAATGTTCTCCCATCCACTCTCACAGCCATCACAAAACGCTTGGTATGCTGCTTCTCCACAGTCTCCGAAAGGCAGACGTACCTCAGTCCAGACCGCAGCTCATTGAGCAACACCACTGGGTTCTTTTCGCTCTTGACGGTGGGCGCCATCTTGTGCTTGTTTTGTTTCGGGTGGCCCATGAAGCCCAGAGTGTGGTAGAGTAGCTTCCCTTGACGGCAGGCCTTAGAAAGCAATTCATTATTAACAGGGGCACAGACCGAAAATTCCTTACTGTGTGTAGACGGTTCAAACTCTTTGAACAGAGTGTCCGGAAAGTCTTCTAGGTCTGATGTAAAGTCTGTAGATGGGTTGAAACAATTTCCCATGGCGAAGTGCGCTTGAGATGCATTGGGAAACTGCACAAATGACTTGAGGGCTTGTTCGGCAGCTCTCATTTTGGCTTTCTTTTTCGTTGGGCCAGTGCCTTCAAATGTATGTCCATTGACCTCCACAGCAACTGCAAATACTGGGGCATGGACAGGGCCTGTTTGAGAAATCATTTTGTATTGTAAACCAGGTTTAAGTTCATGTAGCTGAACCAGGGCGTTCTTTGGTGTTACAGTCCACGAGATCTTCTTGCAGATGAGCTGAAATTTGCAGAAATGTCCACGGTTGCCCTCTTCTAGAGGCCTTTTTCTTTTAACCCTGGAAGCTGCTACTCTTGATCTTTCATTAGAAGCAACTGAATGATCTTCTAAATTGCCAATGTTACGGTTCTCCTTTACTTCAGCACTGCTTATATCTGTTTGGAAAAAAAGCCAAAAAAAAAAGCCCACTAACATTACTGGAACTAGTGCAAAATGTACACACAAAAGTTCAAATGTATTGGTATAAATCTTGATTGAGTTATTATTTTTTTAAATTAGTTTGGCAAAACCTAGTTATATGGATAAGAAGAATTTTCTTTCTTTCTTTAAGTATGTGGATTATTGAGTGTTGTAATGAATGTTATAAGGCTTACAATAGATAGCATAAAATAACTTTTACACACATACTGCTAAATTATTACCCTTCCACAAAATGCAGTACTGACTGCTAATAAACATTGTTTTTAAGGGGATTAAACTAATTTATAGAAAGTAAGCTTATTAATCAGTACAAGACAAGATGACTATATACTACAACTAGGATCAAAGTCACCATGGAAATGTATCTCAATACCATCTCCTGGGAAAATAGCTATATCTTACTGGTGTACTTCCCACAGACATCTGGCTTAGCAATCACATAAAACAGGATGTTGGACTGACTATACGGTCATCTGCTTTAATCCAGTAATGCTCTTATAGTCAATGTCAATGAATGATTCCAGGAGATAATTAATGCTTGAGTAGGGGGCATAATGCTGCCTGCTCTGATACAGATGGAGATGGGCAGTCTTTTAAAGAAACTCACCCTGATAATTTGATCATATTTGTAAAATTATAACTTATAATTTCCCTTTATTTGAGGAAGTGATTGAGAAGGCAACGGGGAGCTACCTACTCAGAAGAATCTAGATTACCTAGGTAAACAGGGATGAAATCCAGCAGGTTCTGGCAGATTCTGGAGAACTGGTAGCATACATTTTGAGTAGTCTGGAGAACAGATAGTAGAAATTTTGAGTTGTTCAAAGAAGTGGCACATGCCACCTCTGGCTGGCCCCAGAGTGGGGTGGGAATGGAGGTTTTGCAGTATCCTTCTCCTGAAGTGGGGTGGGAGTGGAGAGTTTGCAGTAACTGCCACACCCACCAAGCCATACCATACCCACCAAGCCACGCCCACAGAACTGGTAGTAAAAAAAATTTGAATTTCACCACTGCTAGGAAATAAGGTAATATAGATTCTTTTCAAGCAATATTAAGGCCATTGGACCTAAATGACATTAGTTGCTTGGGAGAATGACCATCAGGACCAAGAGAGGAAATGATAGAAGGTGTTGAAGCCACAGGAACCCTGGGGGCAAGTCACTATGCAATATTAGAATTCAACATTATGCAAACACAAGTAGTAGAACTAGAGTCTTGGACTTTAAGAGAGCTATTTTCAATAAACTTAGAGCTTGGAAAAAGTTCCATGGATGAGAATCCTCAAGGGGAAAACAACTCAAGAAGCTTGGGAAATTTTGAAAAATGAAATTACAAA